CCCGCCTCACCGGGACCACGTCACTCGCACGCTACGCGGTCACGTCACGTCCGCGTCACGGCCGCTCCGGCGAGCGCCGCTCAGCGGCCCCGCGCCGGCACCCCGCCGACGGCAGCGCCCGGCCCCGCCCACCTCGCCTGCCATTGGCGGAGACGCGCGGCCCCGCCCGCCCACCTCGCCTGCCATTGGCGGAGACGCGCGGCCCCGCCCTCGAGCCGGCCCCGCCCCTGCGTTCCCGCCGCGGCGCCGTGGGCGCGACGCCCCGCGGGCGCGGAGCAGTTTAAGGCCATTGAGAGCCGTTAGGAGCCGTTAAGAGCCGTTAAAAGGCGCTAAGAGCCGTTTAATGGCCGTGCTGACCATGCCCCTGCCTCCTCCACGACCCCCCTGCCCGTCCCGCTTTCTTGTCGGTCCCTTCCCTTCCCAGGAACAACGCGGGCCGCGGGAAGTTCTGCTTTGTAATTAGCGAGAAGGGCAAAACCCCGGGCCGGGGGTCCCCACACAAACCGCCCCGCTTCGCCGGTGAAACGGACACACGGACAACGTGGATTTTTTTTTTTTTTTTAGAAAACATTGTATAAAAAAACACGGAATTTTCAACATCAAATCCCTACCCTAAAAAATAGCACCAGGGAGAGGCGCACGGCCTTTAAAACCATTTCAAAAGCATTTCTGAGCGGTCTCTCTCCTTACAACATTTTATAAACACAGTGAAAGGCAGCTCTTACAGGGAAAACACGTCAAGGAAGACTTGCCTACTAGACTTTTATCACAGGAGCTTAATGCCGAGGCGGGGGTTGTGCCTTTTATCTTTTATCTTTGTTTACTCTCTCAAAGTCCTTTTTTTCCCCCTCTCTAGTTATTTTTCTTTTAATCAGACAGAAGAYGTGGAGAAGAGGCCGCTGAGGAGGGTTCATGGGGCTGGTGGAGGTGGCGGTGCCACCAGGCAGGACGGGGTCCCTGTCGAGGTGACCAGGACAAGGCCAGTGTCGAGGTGACCAGGACAGGGTCCCCACGAGGTGACCGTGGGTGGGCCAGGCCCTCACTGAGGTGACCACAGGTCCCACCTAGGAAACGAGGGATAAAAGCAGCTCCTTAGAAGGAAAAGYGGGAAAAGGAGGCTCCAGCCTTGGGAACACCAGGGCCCAATCCTCCCTGCTCCCGCATTCCCGCTGAGCCCTGCACATCTCTCAGCAGGTTTTAAACGTCAAGGGGAAAAAAAAGCTTTAAATGCTTTAAAAAGGAAGTAGTGAATATTTGTAAACTACAGCCAAACCTATATACAGTATTCCTTTAGTCCTATCTAGCAGGGTAACTATCACCTCACAGTTCAGATTCAGCTACATTCAGGTCTAGGGATCTCCACATTCTTACGTAATGCCTTAAAGCAGCAATAGACGTTAAACAACAAAATCAAAGTTTTTTAACAAAAAAAAAAGTCTTTAAAAACAAAGATTTGGTTTCTGTATCCTGCGTGTTCAGTGTGTGTCACCTGGCCAGGGTGCCCCGCAGCCGCTGTCGCGGGTCCGGCTCCCAGAGCAGCGGTTCCACGAGGATGTGGAGCGGGAGCGGAGCACCGTGTCCGTGGCGCTCCCTGCTCGGCGAGCGGCGACTCCTCTGCTCCGGCTGAAAACCGAGCGTTCAATGCTCTGGAGAAGACGCCTCGTCCACCAGCTGTGCGTACTGCAGCTAAAGCTCCTTTGTCCCTCCCTTTCTAAGCATCTCTGTGGTTAGTCCCGTTACGGGCAGGTCACCCTACCAGGTTCTTTGGTTAAAGACATGTCCTAAGCTCTCGCTGCGGGCCATGCTCCTTCCYGCAGCGTGGCCGGGGAGGGATGGAGTCCAGGGAGCCGCGGGACTTGCAGGAGCTCGGGCTCTCTGCCCGTCCCTCTCCCGCAAGTGGAGCTCTGCATCTTTACCAGAGAGACGAGGCGAGCTCTGCTTGCTACTCGCAGGCAAAGTAATCCTTGAGCGGGGAGAAGAGGTGCCGGATGACGGGGACGCTCCAAGACCTGCTGAGCACCTTCTGGCGGGCGCCACGGCCCATGTTGGAGACCTCCGCATAGTGGACGGGGAAGCCGAAGATCCTGCAGGGACAGGGGAAGGGAGGTGCTCGGTCCGCGTCCTGCTCCCATGTCCTCGGGCAGGATTCCCGACCAGGGCAGTGACAGAACCGGGTGGAAAATCCCAATCTCCTAAGAAAAATCACCCAGCACTAATGTGGGCAAAGACAGCACAAACCTAACCCCTGCAGTGGGGACCAAGGGCCCCAGGCCAGCTCTGCCGAGCTGACAAGACGCTATCCGCTTGGGATGCAACCCATCCAAGGGAATCCAAGGGGGGAAAGAAGGAATCCTGCACCTGCCTACCTGGAGAAATCCCCAGGCCGCAGGTGTGTGCACAGGGAGCACACAGCTCCGGAGCCCCCCAACACTGAATTGCACCAATATTCCCTGCACGCTGTCCCCAGGGAGCAAGCAGCAGGACGTGGTTCCTACGCACCGTGCAGGGCTGCCGCCTCCGTGCCCTTAGATTTCGAGCCTTACTGATTCAAACAGAGAGTCTGTCTTGTGGGAGGTGTGCCAAGGGGATCTGCTCCCGCTGACGGGCCCTGAGGCGCAGCCCGTGCGATGGAGCACGGCAAGGGCTCCCTGAGCTGTGGTAACGTACTCCGGCCGGTGGCGGGACTGCCACGGCTTTCCTGCCGACACACCAGCGACTGCAGCAGATTGCTCGTCTCCGAGGCAGCAACAGCGGTGTCAAACACCAGAGATGCGCTGCTCGAGCCACAGGGCAGGCGTCAGAGGAGCCAGAAGCGCTGACGTGCCCTGAACCGCAGGAAGCCTCGTCCCGCCGCCACGCGCGGCTGTGAATCCCCCGGGAACACAGCTCGGATTTCCCACCTAAAGGGAGTATTGCTGGGCAGGGATTAAGAGCCTGGCAGGCTGGCGCTGCTTTGCCCTTGCACAAGGAAAAGCGAAGGAAAAGCAAAGGCTCCGAGCAGGATCCGAGCCTGCGGGCAGCACTGCGCCAAGCTCCGTCGAGCACAAACCGAGCCGTCACGCTGCCCTGCGAGCAGGTTGTGTGCAGCACCACTAGGATCCCCTTCACTTGCCTCTCCATCCAGCTTTGGGGCAGGGATCTTGTCTAGACATTTTCCAGGTCCTCAGGATGCTTCTTAGCAAGGGCAATAGCACCAAACCTCACCCAGGGACAGGACATGTGTGGAGCCGCTCCCGGGGCGCACAGGGCCCCAGGGAAAGAGCTGCCCRAGAAGCCCAGAACAGGATAAAACGCAACAAAACGTACCTGTTCATCCCCGGCAGGTTGCCCCAGAAATAGCGGGCTCTGTGGGTTGCTGATATCTTGATGGCGTCGATCATAACTGGGTTACACTGCAGCCCAAGGGAGAAAGGAGGAAAGCTGAGGAGAGTGGCAGCGAGAGGGGCGTTTTGCTGTGGGCAGGAGCGTGAGCTCTTGAAAACCCCTTGGCAAATCCATGCCTTGGGCTGCACCCAAAAGAACCTGGATTCCCCCCGGAACACGGCCCGCAGAGCAGCTCCGAGGGTGCCCAGGCAAGAGCCCCAGCCCACGGGTCGGGAGAACCGGCTCCTTGCAGGGCTCCGCGCGGGCCGAGTCCTCCTGGCCACGACCAGAGGCGCCGGCCTCAGGGAGCCTCAGCACACACCAGGAACGGGGTTTGCTGCTTAAACCCGAGCCTTGTCCTGGCCAGCACAGGCCTGAACCGCTCCCAGTTACCAGAGCTGCTCCTCACACAGCAGAGCATCTACTCCGTGCGCAGCCTCCCCTACCTCCAGAAACCGAGAAATGTCCCTCTTGTCGTTGACCCTCATGGCCACCACGTTCTCGAACATCCAGAAGAAGGGGCGCTCCTCGCCCGCCTTGGGCCGCGCGTAGTTGAGGAGGTGGTAGAACTCGAAGAAGAGCCTCCCGGTGCCTTCTGCAAGGGCGGACGGAGCGCGGCGTGAGGCGGCGGCGCGGCCAGGGCGCCCGCCGCGCGGCCCCTGCCCCACGCA